CCCATTCCATTCTAGCACTGAAGATGTTACCTAGCTGGGTAACGAAACGTTTGCAGGAAAACAACCAACCTCAGAGAACCCCAAGTTCTACCTTAGGCATGAAGCCAGCTGGGTGATCTTGGGCCAGTCATTCTCTCTCAGCCCTAGGAAGGAGGCAACGGCAAAGCACTTCTGAAATCTTGCCAGGAAAACTGCAGGGACTTGTGCATGCAGTTACCAGGAGTCAAGACTGACTTGAAGGCACAAAATAAATAAAATAAAATAAAAAGGACAAGTTCATGTAGTTCTTTGGCAACCATATGGAATTGGTTGGCCACTGTTATTGTCCAGGATGTTTTCTGAATTTCCAGTCCAGGCTGTAGTTCTGGGTCTCCTATGTCACTACTGCCCAGGCCCAACCTGGCTTCGCTTTCAGGCCTGGACAGGTGCTGTCACATCCTGAGATTAAACAAGTTTAATGTTTGGTCCTGCCCACACCATTAATATCAACGCATCACTGGCCACTTCCCTGTTGCATTGTTGTTGAACTTTTTTTTAACCTGTGGCTGGAAAAAAAACAGTGTGTTCCTGGCTATAAATCCAGCCTGACTGTAAATCCAGCCAGATTATATATAGCAAGCAAATAATCACTTTTCAGAGGCCTGTGCAATTGTAACTCCAGCCAATTTGCTGGACGTGTTTAGTAAATCAGGAATATTTTGTGGGGGAGGGGGCGATCTGCTCTCCCTTCATGTATCATACTAAGATCCGCTCCCCCAACGCATACAGTACCCTCATGCCCACTTTCCCTTTTTTCAACAGCAAATTGGAGTTGGCATTCCTGGTTAAAAACAAATTTTGCAGTTCTGGCTTCAGATAATCAAATTCAGTCAACACAGTACTTGAGTTAGTTACTGAAGTATATCATTTTTATTGCACTGGGGACAAATCTTAATAGTGACAGATCAAGGAGCCTTTCTAAGTTGTGTTACCTGTTAGATGCCAAAAGAAAGAGGGTTGTATAAGAATTCATTACCTGTTAAGAATATTGGATAAGCATCAAGAGAACTGCCCTATTTTCAGAGAGCAACAACAACGTGACTTGGATTTCAGCATGTGGTGGATGTGTAATATAGCAGTCCAAGCTCTTTTTATGAAATGACGGAGTGCGAAGACGGAATTGCTTTGATTTCGGTTTTTCTACTTCAGATCTTAATCTTAGGAGCCCACATTTCCATTTGTGTGTGTGCCAATTTGGATTTGAGAGAGGGATGTTTTGGTTCCAATCCAGCTGTGTCTCCTCTTTTATGCCCCAATGAAATCAATAACAATTCTTAGTTGGGGTGTGAGATAGGCCACATTCCTGTGGGGTGTAAGGAGAGAAGCTGGTGTAGGATCATAGTACCAGCTTCTCCACTGCGTTCGCATGTGTTAAATTGCATGCCTGCCTATAGTACAGAAGTGTGCAAGAGCAGGTTAAGCAAGGAGAACCAAGATGCATTCTGCTGTATTTTTAAAGTTTAATGATAATCCTTGGATTGCTTGCACTGCATTCCAGAAAATCAACTGTATTTGTATTTAATCTAGGTCCTAGGATTACTAAGAGGGTGACTACTTTTCTTTTTGACTTCTCTTAGTTTCCTTGTAAGACTTAGCTGAGTTTAATAAATATTATATTCAAGGGTATTGTTTCATTTCGTAACATACTGTGCACTTTACAATTTATTGTACTGCCTTCTTAATATGTTTAATTAGGATTGAATATGTTTAATTAGGATACATGTAAAGAAGAAAGAGAGAGGTTTTTAGGGATGTTTTAGGCTACAAAGATGAATTGCTTTGCTAGTCTAGCAGGCTGTACAAATTCCAACTATAGGCTGTCTTCCTGTTTTCTAATTCCTGATGCCTTTTTTTCATCAGCCCTTACCTGCCCAACCATGTGGCAGCCAGAAAGATTGCAAAAAAAGTTGCAAGAATGTTGTGCAGAAATAATTTTCCCCAGATGTTCCAATGTACTTTTGATCTATGAATATGGAATTTAGCTCCTCTTTCCTATATGCTCTTAAAAAAAAAAGTGCTTCCAGTAATTGCTAATTGCTGACAGTTAAGATCCTTCTAATTGCCAGTGATAAAATTGCTTCTGAAAATTATTAATAAAGCCATAGCTCTACCAGATCTGTCTGATACAGCTGATACCGTAGGCCAGTGTTTCTCAACCTTGGGAACTTTAAGATGTGTGGACTTCAAATCCCAGGAATTCCCACGCCCACAAGGGGGGGGGGGGGGTTTTGGTGGTTTGGGTGCGACAATTTTTAAATACCCCCAGGTGGAAAAAAAAGAC